CCAAAAAAAAGAAAACATTAAAGGAACTTCACTGTTTACTTAATGTGTAGTTACATATAAAAATTCTTTCCGTAAAAAGAAATGAAACGTAAAAAAAAAAATTACACTTATTTTGTTTGTATTATGTAAAAAGATGTATTTTTTATATATTGAAATTCCATGTTTATATTTTTTTCTATAACAATTAAATTTTGAAATACTTATATTTAAAGAGTTTTTATCTATTATATTATTCTTGGTCTATAAAATGTGAGGATTGACTATGAAACTTGTGTGTTACAAATAAGTTCATTCAATAGTGTCATCACACATTCAAGAATATTAGTTTTTCTAATCATACAAGTTTGAGAATCAAAGATAAATCGAGGTTTGTGAAGGATCATGAAGATGGACAACATGTATAACATAAATATTATCATATTACCATTTGGGAACCTTCAAAAATTGTTTTAATGTTAACAAACTAAGATGCTTTCAAAAAATAAATTAAGATTATTTACGTAAGACAATAACTTAGTCTTAGCCACAAATGAGCTCGAACCTTGAAATGCATGATAAGTTCTCATATCTAATACTTTGTTTGTAAAAGATGAATATTTAAAATAGTACATTTAATATGTTAGATATTTCTATTATTTGCTTATATGATATTCTTTAGTATATTGCAAGGAATAAAAACTTTTTTGGTACTCATAATGCTTAAAGAAATAAAAAATTGCTTTGCATGTGATCAAGGAAAAGTAGATGTCTCGAAGTTTGTAAAAAAAAAAAGCTAACTGACACACGCAACAATGTCTTCCCTTTCAGTACCATAAAGGTGATAAGTAACATTCTCGATCAGATTAGAAGTGATTATTTGGTGAAACACATTTACTACAATCATTTGTTGCACCAACGGACACCTAGATCTATAAGGAAGTAAGATGAAGTAAGACAAAGTAGAGTAATGAGTGTTATCAAAGGGTTTGCAACTGTCCTTTTCAAGATCACCTCTATAAAGAAGCTTGAGCTTCAAAGAATGAAGAGAATCAACAATCACACTTATTCATTCTTTGTAAAATCTCTAAAAATTCTTTTTGTACCTAAGAGTTGTATTACGTTTTGTGAGTAAAATGAAACTTTTAGTTATCTTTACCCAACTTAAACTATGAGTTTTAACTTGAAGCTTAGAGAGTCTTTGTTATTTAAAAAATACTTGGTATTTAAGCCTGGAATGACTTTGTTGCTTAAAGGATACTTGGATAGTTTGCTTGAAGAAGTAAATCAAAGAACATTTATGTTGAACCAGAAATAGCTTGTGAAAGAATACTTGTATATTTGTAAAAGATATTGGCACTTGATCAAGTTGATCAAGAACTGAATGTAGTTTTGATAGTTGAAAAGAATCAATATAAAAATACTTCGTGTTCTTTGATTTACTTTATTTGCATTCTTTTAGACTTGCTTAACTACTTCACTATTTCGAAAAAAGTGTTGGTTTTTAATATACATTACTCATCTCCATTCTATTGTATTTCTTTTCTCTACAAATATATTATATAGTTTAACCTTCTGCAACTCTAACTTTGTAAATATGAATTTTTTGTTTAGGAGTAGAAAACAAGTCAATCCAGCTCATTTTGGCTTGTCAAAAATGGGATAAGGTGAATTAGCCTACCTAGTGGGTGGGATTAAAAACAAGGTCCATCCCACATGAGGGTGGGCTAACTTGCAAAAATAAATTAAAATTTTTAATTTTAACACTAATATATATTGTTGAGTCCAAACTCTTAACATTTTAATTATGACAAAACTTATGAATAAATGTCATAAGCCTTTTGAATATTTATGCTACTGATGAGTTTAGTTAGTTTATTTAGAACATCAATTAAAATAAACTCAAGATTGATTCAAAATAATTCTTAAAAGATGACTTAGAATCAATATGACATAAATATCATAATGAGGCTTCAAAAGCAAGAACTCAAAATGGCTCAGAAGGAAAGACTAAAGTTTATTTGTATAATATCCTAAGTCATGGGAATTCAATTAAAGAGATCTTGGTAGCTATGAAAAGCCTGAAGAAGTGTCTACATTCTTCTTGAAGAATCCAAGAGCTTGTTTGGAGTAGATCATGTGCAAAATTGTAAGAGAAGTTGTAGATATTGTTGGTCTTAATTGCAAAACACAACTACTGTATTTTGCATATGACTTAAGTTGTAGATATGCTTGAGACAAACTATGTGGATATGGAAAGATAGAACATTTATCTACAACCTTTATGAAGAATTCATGCATTGAAAAAGCCTAAATCATGGAAAAATATGGAAATCAAGATGAAAACATCGTCTTAAGTTACAACTTGAACATAATGCAATATATTGAGTATATCTAGAGTTGTAAACATGCATTTTAGCCAAACTTGGTGGATGTGGAAAGATAGAAGAATTTTCTACAACTTTGATGAAGAAATTGTGGTCAAATAAGACCTATATTACAGACATATTATCTCTGCAAGATGGAAATGCTAATCTGTCCACAACAACATGATGTTGGTATTATGTGTTAGGAATAACTTATGTTGCAGAGGTCTAAACAACATGAAACCAATTCATAATGATCAATGCTATTAGTCAAGGATTATTATTAGCCCAAGAGATAATGTCTATCCTAAGCTAGAAGATAAGCATCTTGTGTTGATGATTCAAGGGAGTTTCAGTTGGACATTTTCTCTCAGGGAATGTGCCTCAAAGGCCTTGTACAAAAGTCTCTCTAATGGAACCTTTACATAAGAAAGCTTCAATTCAAACTCAACTTATCAGAAGACTAGTACTAAAGAATTTTCTTAGGAGATTACACAAAAGCAAACTCATAAACATACTTAGAAGAAAGCTTCAGTTCAAGCTCAAATTCTTAAAAGAATAGTACTGAATATCCTGCTCAAAGGGTTGCTCATAAGGAAACTTTAGAAGCAGATTACTTCTAAAGGATATGTTGACAACGCTAAAGTGAACGTACAAGCTGATGTCAGCATTGCTTAAAATTTAACCTAGCTCTAACGAACATGTTTTAAAAGGTTGTAAAAGGAAGACATTAGGCTCATATGCAAGTGAGCAAAACTAAAGAGAAAAACCAGTTATCAAAATTGTAAACTTTGCTCTATACTTTGATATATTCAAAGATGTCCACTTCAACATATGTATTAGTTCTGTAATAGAAAAATGAAGTGTGAAACTTCTATAGTGGTAGCGCTTAATTTAGGAGAGATTGTTGTAACCTTAGCAGTTGCTAGGATATAATAACCCATTACTCCTAAAAACCTTCCTTACCCATATCTAGTGTGTAGAGGTGTAGGAAGGAGAGAAAAAGTGCCAACTGGTTGAGAGAGCTCATAATAGGTGGTTGTGAGGGTTGAAATCTCAACTAGTTGCTAAGTAAAGAAATTTAGCAGGTGGTTGTGTTGTGGGAAGGAAATCTAGTAGGTGGTTGGTGGTGTAATCATAATAATTATTGTTGTTTAGTGAAAAATCTCATAATGTGCGTGAGGATTGGATGTAACCCAGTTTGGGATGAACCAATATAAAAACTCATATTGCAATTTCTCTAACTTTATCTCTCTACTTGTTGTAGTTACTTTAACATTTTATAGATATTTGTTGCATAATCTATTGTTGCTTTAAATTGCTCAGAAGAAAGAGTCATGAAAAAAAATTAAGTTTTTGAATACTTAGAAATAACAACTTCTGAGCAATAAATTTTCATAAAGAACAAATTTTTTCCAAGGGAACATGCTTATTTAATGCTACTATATTTACTGTCATGTTGCTACATAATTTGTTACACAAATAAATAAACTTAGGAACTATTTTTAGAAAAATAATTTATGCTCTAGCACTCAGAAGCATCAACTTCTAAAGCTATTTTCGAAAGATATAATTAACACTAGCACTCAAAAGTAGCAATTCCTGAGTAATAAATTTTCACAAATAAATGATATTTAAAGAATACAACAATTCAATTTCTTTCTTATAATGTTCACTTTAAATTTTAATCAACAAAGTTAATTAATAATCTAAAATATATTAATAATTATTAATCTATTGCACTTAGTTTAAAATAGTTTTTTTTTTCTTATCTCGTTATTTAGAAAAATTTTAACTATATTCTAAAACTTAAAATCATAATCTATTACATTTATGATATTCCCCCTTATGCATGTAACAAATATCTTTTTTTTTTTATTATTATAAAGATTAGTTATACATTAATTAACACTTAAGTGTCAAATACATTACATATTCATATAAAAAAATAAAAAATAAAAAAATGGGTCAAACCTTCGTGTTGAGAGCCTGTCAGGCCGATAGGTTGGGCAAAGTGGACTACAGATAGTTGGTGGTAGAGTCGTTAAAGTGAGATGTAAACTGTGAACCAACATGGTTTTCTATGAGTTTGAGTTACATTGGGTCGGAAAAATTTAACTTATTTCAGTTGTAAGAAAAAATTTTCCAACTTACTTACAAACGGGTCAACTTGTGGTGAGTTGAAGTGATCTACCTAACATACCTTTTATTTTTAAGTTACCAAATGTTAATTTATTATTTCAGTTATTTTATTTTTTATATACTAATTATGAATTATAATAATTAATGTCAATTTGATATTATTTATCAATATTTTATATAATAATTTTGATATTATTATTGATATTATAAGTTGATTAAGTTAGTTATGGTTGATGATTATTTTTATTTTTTTGATATTTTTTTTATATTGTTAACATAATTATAATTACAAAATATAAGAGTATAATGTATATTCTTATAAATTTTAATATTTTTTGTTTTGTTTATTATTTTTTTAATTTAAGTAAATTAATTCATTTAATCCATCAATTTGTTGTGGATTGGATCGAGTTAATTTTTTTTTTTAGTTTATCAAAAGGTAAGTTGAGTTAGATTGATCCATTTATTACCCAACAACGATGGGTCCGGACGAATTATCCACTTCAAAAACTCTAACAGGTAGATTGAACCTCTTATCTTAGCTCACATATTTTGGCATGTTAAGCGAGTTGGCTCACGCAAGTCTTACCTACTTTTTCATTCTTATAATTTTCTTTATGACCAATACATTATTGAGAATACGAGAGAAGTTAAAGATTGGGGGAATTTCATTAATACACTATAAGTAAATCACATAAGAAAATTTGATATTAATAATAAATTAAGAAAGTATTAGAAAGAAACTATTAAAGAAAATGTTAACACCAACAAACTATTATACATATTAATTCAGTTATTTTTATCATTACCTTTGATTTTACTAGTTTCACCATCATTATTATTGTCGATAATTAATAAAAAAATTATAATAATCTCAACATTATTTTACTTATATTATTTATTCTATATCAAATAGTATATATTAGTGAAACACATACCTAACTTTTTTTATTTATTTATCTTAATTTCATATATTTTAATTTTTTCATATCATATAGGGTCTCTTAATTTTCAATCAACTATGCTTAAATATATTTTTATTATTTTAAAATTATGATAAATTTATTTTTATCTCTTAAATTTGAAATTGATCTATTAATCTTATAATTTTAAATAATATATTATTTTAATTATATATTAACTACTAAATTCAATATAATATTTTTACCAATAATAATACTAATGTATAAATTTTGGAATTTGGATCATCTTCTGCAATTTTCTCTCTCCAGTCTCTCTCCTGCAACATTAATAGCCATTAGATATATTTAGTGGCTCAAATTTAATCATTTAAGGAGCTACGTTAATTATAAGATTAAATTTGGACTATTAGATATATCTAATGGCTATTAATGTTGCAGGAGAGAGACTGGAGAGAAAAAATTGGAGGAGAGAATCCAAATTATAAATTTTGTGAGACAATAATTAACAATTTGATTAACAAGATTTGAAAGAGAGAAAAAATCCTAAAGCATGAAGCCAAAATAAAGTAGACATTATGATTAGGCTAATGGATACTCATACACAGCAATTCATGAGTTTGACACCAAAAGCCAAAACTGTAGAAGATATCTTAGCACAGCATAGTGATAACTGATAACAGTATAACACAACACAAGCAGCATTATCATCTCCCAAATCATACACACCAGATGTTGCAGTCTCAGTTTCTGTTGCCACTATCACCCTCACTCACACAGACACTCCATAAACCCCCTCTCTCCCTTCTTCCACCACTTCACCACAAACCCACCATTCTCCACTCTGTTTCGGTCTCAGCAATTCCTCCATTTCTCGCACAGCTCGCCAATGAAGCAGACGTAGAAGGCCCCGTCGAACTCCCCTTCTCTTCTTCCATTTTCGCCACCACCGACGACCCTTCTCCCATTCAAGTCGCTTCCAGCGTTCTCCTCACCGGCGCCATCTCCGTCTTCCTCTTCCGCTCCCTCCGCCGCAGGGCTCAACGCGTCAAACAATCCGTAAACCCACTCTTCTCTCTTTTTCATCTCAACTTTCTCTCCAAGAAAAATTGTATTTTTATTTTAAGGCTACTTTGTTACTTATAATTTAGTGTCACTTGAGTTTCTATTTGACTAAGGGTCATGTGTCATGCAAAAAAAGAGTTTAATTTTTATGAAGTGGTTTTCAGATCCTCAAGCTCAATTAACCAGAAATCATCGTATCTAAGACTTTTTAGAGTGGGTTTAGTTTCATTTTTAGTTCCCTCAATACCACAGTCTTGTAATTTTAGTTCTTTGGGTTCTAAATTCATCAATTAGGTTCATTAAGTTTTCTCTTATTTACGATTAGGTTCATTAAGTTTTCTCTTATTTACGATTAGGTCTATTTCTAGTTTATACTGATTTTATCCAATGTTTTATGAAATTAGCTGATGTGACATTACAGGGAGTAAATTATGCTAGCTAAAAACACACAACATTTGAACTAAATGACCTAAAGAGGTGCTTTGACTGTATTTTTACTTATTCATATTGACAATGCCTCTAGTTAAATTATTTGTTTTTGTGACAGCAATGAACAACAAAAAAATGTCTTTCCATTTTGAACAAATTAATCACTTAAATATTGGATGAAATGAAATCAAGATGGATGAACTTGATTGTGAATAAGAGAAAACTTGAGAGACCCAATTGGCACAATGAGACCAAAATCGTATAATTACGATATTTGGAATACTAGAAATGCAATTAAGCCTCTTTAAGGTACTTACAGTTTATCATATATAGTAACAATCTATGATTGGATGGCAGTTAAAAATTGTTTGGAATGCATTTCAATTAAATGCTAGAGCCAAGATGCTTTTTTAAAAAAATCCTTATTTGATTTTTGTGTAATTGTCACTATTCATGTTTTGCTACTATTGGATTTTTCAGTTTGTCTATAGGATAATGAGCGTAGTTACCCTTTTGTTTATAAATGTTTAGATGAAAAATGATTTCAAAGAATGGTTTTTTATTTTTAAAAAGTGAAATTGGATATATATTGTATTGGATTGTTTGTGTTGTTATGCTGTTCATTAAGTTTTAGAGTGATGCTACAGATTTGTGCTGTTATGATTCACTCTGTGTGTTCATTTAAATGGGATTTTGTGGTTTTAGCAATTCAGGTCTTCAGGAGAGAAGAAGACGATTAAGGAAGAAGCATTGGATAGCTTGAAAGCTTTGGGGTCAGCTTCAGTAGAGGCTAAGGGTCCACCTTCACCCGGTCAGGCATTGCTTGGGGGAGTATCTGCGGGAATTATTGCACTTATTCTCTATAAGTTTGCCACTACCATCGAGGCATCTCTAAACCGACAAACAATTTCAGATAACTACTCTGTATGTCTCATCTCTGTCCTTCTATCGGTATTTATTCTTTTTATTTTCTATCTGTATTTATTCTTTTTATTGCAGAGCATGTTAATTGGGATTAGATAAGGCTGTTTCTTTTATTAATTAATTTAACCAAAGAAAAAAGGTAGGAGTTTGAATACCGTATATCATATATATTGTGCATTCGAAGTTACTTTTCCTTGTCTTTGAATCTTGCAACTTGATACAAATTTTGATTCATGATTCAAAAATTAGCTTTGCAATTCACGATATGAATCTCGATTTGATAACTTCAGGTCAGACACTAGGAATTGGAATCTTGTTACTTGCTCTTCTTAACTATGCTGGTGGTAAAAATATAATGGAATGTTTCATCTCTTGATATTTTTCTTGGTTACTAGACTCAATTAATTATTCTAAACAATTGTTCCTTTGATGGCTGATCATTCTTCTTTAGCCACAATTTTGTAATCGAGACTCCAAAACACTCATTGCTTAAAGATGTTAAAGTAAATATTTCTGTGAAGAAACAAAGAGTAGCTTCAGTAACATGAATCCAACTGTCCAAGAAATATGCTTGTACTTTGATTGGTAACATGTCCTTCAGGGAAGAAGTCTTCAAATATCTGGTATGATGTACCGATACGATACGCGTATCGGATATGACACGTATCCGATACGGCGATACGGTTATTTTAAAATATATAGGATACGATACTTGTAAGATACTTGTCATCATATATATCAATGTTCATACAATATAATAATCGTGTACTTGTAATTTTGATCAAAATTCATAAACATTAAATATATAATAATAGCTATTTTGCAAATCCAAATTAAAAACATACTTATTGTACATTACTAAAAATAAATAAATTATAAATCATTTCATCATAAATTACTTTTTATTATTTACAAATAGAAATAATATTACCAATTTCATTCCTTTCTTAAAATTATCCATATAGGAGACAATTTTCATTTACAGTTCATCAAGGACCAATATTTCTATGTTTCTATATTAAATATATTTATATATCTTATTTAGTTGTAATGGATATTTCTTAATTTTTGAAAAGTTTGAATACTTTATCGATAGGTATCACCAATAAGTATCGGTGAAGTATCTGAGAGTATCGGAATTGAATAAAATTTTCATAATATTTTTAAAAGTTAGGATACTTCATTGACACGTATCGGTGAAGTATCCAAGAGTATCGTGTCGGATACGTATCGGATACGGATACGTGAAGCAAATTGAAGTATCGGTGCTTCATCATCGATTCAGAACACTTCATATTTCTCTGGCATATACTTGATTGAAATGATTATCTTAAAAGTAAAACTACTAGTGTTTTATTTGCCCTCTAGTATCTTGGTTGAAAAATTATGTGTCAAGTCATTGCTGCTTGGTGTAGTGATACCGACACAATTTGATCGAAGTTTGCAACATTGTTTATAGTTACATGAATATTTAATGTTGATTCATATTATTTCATAGTTATTCTGTATCATTGATGAGCCTACCGAGTCATAGCTGCTCGATGTATTGACATAGTTTGATTGAAGTTTACATAATTGTTTATACTTACATGGCTATTTAATGTTTATTTGTATTAGTTCATGGTTATTCTGTATCATTGATGAGCCTATATTCAATACTTAACTGTGATGATCAGAATATTCAATTGAACTGAAGTTTAATCATTGGAGATTAGTAAGGCAATCCATTCCCTGGTTGAAACTAGAGATTATGTTAAATATGTATGAATCTGATGAGTCTTGGGACTTTTTAGTTGTGTTTTCCATCCAACACTTACCTGATACTGAAATACAATTTTTTAATTCAGTTGTCTTTTGATTTTCATATATACACAAGTAAACACTGGGAGTAGATATTAAATGAAAAAAATAGCTAAAGCTAAGATTTTATTCTTTCATTATAATGCATTCCTGGACTGTAGAAAAGTAAATCTTTAATGTTCTTAATTAGAGTACCCAACAGGTAAGCTGTTAAAAATAAAATTTACAATTACATAATTTGTTGGAAGCAAAATTATCAACTTTTACTAGTATTCCTGTTGTTATACTTGCCAATCGCCATAATTCGTAAGTTGGCTATAACCCTATATCTCTTGGCACTCATCTATGTGCTGGTATGAACTTGTGCATTTTAGAGCAAAAGATCAATTTGAGCTGATATAGCCTATAATTGTGGTTATGGATTGTATTTAATACAACAGCTCAATTTCGCATTATTCTGACAAATGAGCAATTGCAATTTTTCTGTGTATACAATAAGCATAACCATTTACCTTGTGACATGTCAATCATAGAATTGCTTTTTATCTCAATGATAGAATTGATACAAGAACTTTTTATTGAATTAGTAGAGAAAAATACTACAGAACAGATTTTTAAGTTCTTGATTGTTTGAAATTGTATGCTTTTCAGGTCCGCCAGATAACCATCACCATAAGGTAGCTTCAATCTCTTTCTATCTGGGGCCTTGCTATTCTGTTTTTTAAAGCACTTACCTGACAACCATATGACAATTTTTCACAGGACAATAGTGAATGGCTTGACCTACCTTGCAACATTTGTTTTTGGCCTGAATTCCCTTGGTTTATTCCTTTATTCTCTCCAGCTTGGCATCAAATCCATTATGGAAGGTTCAACTGAAAGTAAAAGCACTGATCAGTCAAATTCATCTATTGAGAGTCCCACGGATAACTCTGAATTGAGCAGCAGGAAGGAAGAACAAAGTTCCAATGATGCACAATAAATACTAGGTGTAAATATAGTGATGTTAAAACGGAGGTCAGCAAAATTTATCCACTTGTAAAAGTAAAATATATAATTATATATCCTTTCCTTTCACTTTTGGGGGTAATGTAGATGGCAAGTGATCTTCAATGTAGTTAATAGTCTTGATGCTGAATTTTGTTAAAGGTTTATGGAAGCTATATTCTCGTGTCGTCTCTTTTACCCTTTTCGTTTGCCAATTTTCTGTTGGTTTAGTTTTGATGGGAAGAAGCTGAGGACTTGAGGTGACTCAAAACAAATTTCCATTCAATGTAACATCAAACAAGTTTACCATTTCCATTTGCTGCTTTTACATCTCTGTCATCTTCACCAAAAACTTGTGTTTTATTATCATTGCTTTTATGAGATGCAGAGCAATAGCTTTAGTCTAATCCTTTGTGATCAGTGGTATTTTGCTTTACAAGTGCATTTCGCATTGTAGCAATGTTGCTGAATTTTCAATTCATTAAGGTTGGCCTACTGATAAGCATCATAGAGTATACACAAGATTTTATGTTTTAACTTTGTTATTATCATGGTAAAAAAAATAAAATAAAATGCATGCATGTGTTTGTGACATTCATAATTATGCACAATCATACAAATGACTCGAGTTGGAATGGGGAGTGTGAAATGAATAATGCTTGGTGTAGATCACCCCAAAAGAAGGTCAAATCAGCTGTAAACAAGTGTATGTGATTAGTATTATTCATATCAAATCAGATCATCAGTACAAAATCGTATATGATTGTCCATGCAATAATGGGTTAGGTATGTTCTCAGACACACAACTGCTGCGTGTTAGTGGCCCAAAATCACATCAACATAAATATGACATGGCTAGGGGGAAACAAGAAATTGAAAGAAGAAAAAAAAATATTTATTTTTGTGATCTGTTATTGGAAAGAAAAATTATAGATGTTTCGCTATAAAATATTAAACTAAATAATTATTTTATAATAAATTTATATTAAAGTATGAATTTTTTATTTATTTATAATTTTAGACACTGATTCGGTTGCTTTTTTCGGAAACATGTAACAATGCTCTATTGGAAAAAGGGGGAGAAAAAACTTACGAATTCTCCCTTCCTCCAAATGACGTATCAAGAGTGCACAGCGGATATTAATTACTTAATATGTTAAATTATATTTTTAATTTTTTATTTAGCTTTAAGATTTAATTAAGTTTTATTATTTTTAAAAATTTTAATTTAGTCTTTTAATTTTAAAAAAAATATTCAAAGTTGTCTTTCATCCAAATCGATACTATCGACTTTAATAAAATTAGATAAAATGATAATATTGAATATTTTTTTTAAAAAAATAAAAAATTAAATTGAACTTTTTAAAAATAATGAAATAAAATTAATCATTTTAGATAATTATCTATTTCTAAGATAATGTAATCCGGACTTCATTAATATCGTAAATATTAATTTGGATGAAAGGATAATAATAAATATTAAAAATAAAACAAATTAAACTCTTTAAAAATAGTGATACTAAATTAAATCTTAAAAATAAAATAAAAAAATTAAAAATACAATATAACCTTTAATATATAAATAATTTCTCAAACTTATATTCTCATTTAATGTACTCTTGTATTATCCACTCACATATAAGACAAGTATCGAGATTTTTCTAAAGTAAAAATATAAAACTTACGTGGCTTTTAAAACTAATTATGTGATCATCAAATTAAGCCCTTTTTTTTCTTTCTATGAAATAAATAACTAATTATATGTTCGATATTTCTGCCTTTGACTCTCACAAGTACATTATAAAGGGGCAAATACTTTTCTTTATTAGCTTTCGTGAGACCTCCATTTAGGATTGGGAGTTGAGTTGAACTAGATTTAGCTTAATTTAGGACCTAATTCAACGAAAATGTCAATTTACACTGAAATTATTCATTTCAGCACAGTAGAAAGAAATAATACTGTAATAGAACTAGAAAAAAAATTGATGAACTCAACCACACTTTGACAAGATTGAGAGTGATAGTTAGATCACTAGAATCATTCATTTTAGTGCAGTAGAAAGAAATAATACTACAATAGAGCCAAAAAAAAATATATAATAAATGTAAATTTAGACTGAAAAACTCTTATTTAATTTTATATTATCTCAACTTTATTGTCTATATTTTCAAAAAACAAAAATAAGTATAAAAAAATGATGGGGAAAATGCCCTATTAAATAAGGATATAATTGAGAAAAAAATATTAATTAGAATTTGAAATTCTAAAATATCAATTATTTTTAGAAGAAGAAAAAAAGAGTAACTAAATTGAGTTGATTGGATTCACAAGTATATCTCGACCATCATGTACTGTGGTATCCATGTGCCAACTATCAATTTTTGTGGGTGCCAGAATGTCTCTCTCCCAATCCCTACTCCATTTCCAATCTGCTCAAAAAGTTTGCAGCAAAAACACTTTATGTAATATGTAACCAGCTTCCATTGTGTTTTTCTCTGTTCGTCCTTTTTCAACTCAAGATTCCTAATCACTCCTACCTTTTCTCCATCTAATAAAGCAAGTATGATCATGAGACTTCTTAAGCAAGAAGCAAATACTATTTCATTCAACCGTCTGTTTTACACCTCATATTTCATCTTCACAACTAAACATGCTTCTCAAGAATCTTGACACTTCCCATTCATATTATCTCAAAAAACTTAACTAGTAAAGGTAGTTAGATAATTAACTTTTGTTTTGGTGCCGTGAAGTTCAAAAATTTACTGAAATTGGCACGTGCAGGTATATACAGTGGGAAAACAAAGTAGAGTTGTACATTTTGAAAGAAAACTATTTCAAGTTGTTCCCTTATTTATTTTGTATGGGAAGAAATTACATCAAGGTTAGAGATAATAATGTGGGTTAAACTTGATGAGTCAATTGTTTAATTTTAATGGATTAAGTTGGATAAATAAACCCATCAATTTGTTCTATCAATCAACTATTGGATTCAATTCGTCAACTCAATGGGTCAACTTTTTATCCATTTTTTTTTTGTTTTTAAAAGATAAATTTGTAGTGGATTTATATTTGATCATTTTTTTTGTAGTTTAACTTCTTTTTCTTGGTAATTATTCTCATTTGACATGAAATAAAAGTATGTTGTTTTAATCATATGTCTTATACTAGTACATTTTTATGTACAATGTCTTTTTTTTAATAGAAATACATATTATTTTGAAAGTGATAATGTATATTGAAATATTTCAATTGAGATTTTTTTTTAAAAATTGGATCGATTGAAAGTAAGTCAACTTTCAACTCACCATTTTTAACCTATTAACTTATTAAAGTGGGTTAACCTACCAATTTCATCACTAAATAAAGTGAGTTGTATTTTCAATCCATTTTCTTTAATGGGCTAACCTGCATTGCCTCGCTTCTTTAGTGAGATCAACTCACCTTGCCTCTCTTTAGGTAACCTTGATTATCATAAATGCCTATAATTCTTAACGTCAAACAAATGAACATTTATCTTGACCAAGTCACTAAGTAATTAATGCAATAGTATGCTCATATATATTCAAATGAAATAGTTTATTTTGGAGGTGGCAAATGGATGGATCGGATAATGTTTTAGATGGATCATAATGGATCGGATGAAAAAATTTATTAATCCATTTAGGTCTATAAAAAATTTATATAAAAATCCAATCCATCCAAATTTAAAACAAAAATTTTATCCAATTCATCCATTAACAACTTTTTCATGTATCCAATCTAACCATAAAAGTAATGTTTTAAAACTTTTTTCTTCTTATTTTTGAAATATTTTATTTCTCTTTTTATTTTATTTTTTTTATAAATCATTATATTCCTATATAATTTTTTTAAGATTTACAAGACTTTTTTATGTCAAAATAATCTTTTAAAATCTCAACATAATAAATATCTCATTGTAATTCAATGAATTTTTAAAAATAATAGATAAATCACTAACATCCATAAAATTAAATAAATGAATTAATTAAATAAATGAATTGTATCTGATTAATTATCTAATTTTATTGTAATATATGAAATTATTTATGAAAAAATAAAATAAATAATGAATTCATTTGTCACTCTTAATTTACTCTAATCGGCATTGGACTTAAGATTTTTCATAAGTACTCAGAATTTCATATAACTAATGGATTTGACTTGTCTTAATCGACCGAGTCCATCCTGTAAATTGAAATATCATCTCTCAAACTTGAAACAAGTGAGGTCAAGGAGAAGCTGCTTTAAAGACGGTGAATCCAAGGATTAAAATTAATTAAGTAAGCATGATTTGTTTCCTTCTTGGCCTTTCTTTCTTGTTTGTGGCTTTGTCTTTACCCATTGAAAAGAAAGAGGGAAAGAGTTTGCATAAACTAATCACATGCTTTCTTGGGAATTGATTATGCTTCGTGAGTCTAATTATTGACTAAAGAAAAGGCTTTGAAATTCTGCAAATCAATGGAAAAGGAATGGAAAAACAAAAGGCAACCCTGCAGTGGAAATTGAAACAGGTTCCAAAGAAAGACAAAACGATAACTTTACAGCTTATCCTCGGTGTGGTTGCTTTCAAGCTCATGCAATGTCACTATTAACTAATATTTATCTCCAAGTCATTCAAAATTATGAGTACAGACAAATCAACACACGTAACACACTTTTATAAACCAAATGCTTGCTTTGCTAAAAGATCAAAAAGACCCTAGTTACTATTTGTATAAAGTTCATTAATAATGTGTCTTTAGCATACAGTAATACGACTATTAACTAATATTCTTTAGCTGCTTATCAAAAAAAAAAAACTAATATTCTTTAGCATCCACTGTTTTTCCACTTGATTAATGCTACTAATTAATGATAGTACAATCCGTAAATTTCTCATTTCCACTTTGGTTCATAAATTAAATACAACAACTACTACTAACAAGCACTAGTAGTAGTCCAACCTGTGTTTTTGACTGATTTTCAAGATTCAACCTATATTTCAGTTCCCCTCTAGCTTGGAAACAATATGTAAAGGCTCGTGAAGTCTTGATAATGACAACACCACAAGAACCATGCACAAAGCCTTAATCACAGAGCAGTTCTTTAAAACGATGAAAGACCATACAACACACAAGTCCACAACAATTACACCCTAATAAACAACCAGACACAACAACCTTAACAAAATACCCCACACACTTTTATTTTCTTACCCTTCAAACCACGTATATACTTCAAGCTTCCAACCACTCCCATTCAACTCAAATGGCAAGTAGGGACTTCCGTTAAAATACTATAATTAAATCCACATCTATCATTAGCTAAGTTCATTTATTTTTACTACAATAATTTCTCACAAAAATGCATAAAAATTATACTCTTATTGTAAATTCACAAACGAGTAAAGGACCCCAAAACAAATAGCATCACTAAAAGTATTTATACAAAGGATTACATTCTAAAAACAGCAAAATAGTATACTCAATCCTAACTTACCAAACCTGCCCAAAGTTCAGCAATAATCTACACATAATAACAACAATTAATTATTCTGTCAATTAAAAAAAAAAAAAAAAAGAGGAAGAAAATTGAGATTTCGAGAAAGAAAAAAAAAATCAAAAACCAACACCAGCCGGCGCGCCGACTCCGAGCTGAGCCGGCGGAGGGTGCGGCTCGAGCTTCCTGTTGTTCCAGAAACAAGCCTCCGGCGCGAGCTTAGCCGATGACCGCATCGGCTCCGACTTGCAGCGCGTCAGCACAAACGGCTCGTACCCATTACCCGATTTCGACCCCATCAGCTTCTGCTCGATCATCGTCGCCATCGACACTCCGCCGCCGCCGCCCGCCGCCGGGAACGAGCACGACGACCTCGGCGGCTGCATCATCGGCGGCGAGGGTTTCGGTTTCGCCTTCGGCTTGTTAAGTGTCTCTCCCGCGACCCTCTTGCCGCCGGCGCC